TTCTATTCTATTCTATTCTATTCTATTCTATTCTATTCTATTCTATTGTCAATCCCTTGATCACTCAGCTTATGTTTAAGTTCCCCCTTCTCATTTAATATATCTTTATATCTAACAATATTTTCTATGTTAACATTTGGATGAACCAGTGCTTCCATTATCGAGAGCCAGACTGGTATCCTCAAATAGTGATGTTCTCTGATTTTCTTCCATACTAACAATAATACATCCCTAATATAGTGCCTTTGAAAGTAACCTATATCTTGTTTTTCCCATACAAGAAGGCGTGGCAGCCAAGTTGCAAATCATGTCCCTCCAAAGTCAATAGTCTTGTTTCTCAATACAATCCATTCTTTCACCCAAGTAAGTACCACTGCCTGATAGTATAGTCCTGAAAGTGAGGATCCCACAGGAGTTCCTTTTACTTGATGATATTTACCCATCGAAAATGTGAGTGGTTGAGCAGAGGTTGGCAAGATTCATGATTCTGGGTGCTTCAATCTTGGTGCATTTCGTTAGGCTGGGGGTGCTGCGGAGCAGAACTTTCATGGATTCCTTTGCTCACTGTGGGTTGGTGGATATTAAAAGGGCTGTGACATCAAATGAAACCACAAGTTCATCCCCATCTACTGTCTCATCTTTGATTCTTTGGAGACATTGAGTGGGAAGCTGACTGAGTATTTGCTTCCCTTCAGATGGTTTATTTACTTTATTGTCACTGCACCTTGTACAACGAAATCAAACAACACCTTCAGTGCACATCATGACCATAAAAATAAACACAAACACTCCACACATTGAATTGAAAGCTCCCGACACTGCAACAACACTGCACTATACAGTGGAATTCAACAGAGCTACTGCTCTGGGATAGAAGCTGTTTTCCAGCCTATTTATCCTTGTTTTTATTATCCTGTACCATCTGCCAGATGGTAGTAGTTCAAAAAAAGGGGGTGCCCAGGATGAGATGGATCTTTGAGAATGTTTTGAGCTTTCTTAAGGCAGCGGGAGCTATAAAGCTTTTCCAAAGAGGGGAGAGGGCAACCCAGGATCCTCTGGGCAATGATGTTAACCCTCTGGAGCGCTGTCCTATCTGCCCCTGTGCAATTGGCAAACCATACAGAAGTGCAGTAAGTTAAGATGCTCTCTATGGTGCAGTGGTAGGACACTTCCCTGTGCAGTGCCCCCCGCCATTTGTTGTTAATTATTTTGTGATACTGTTGAGAGCCCCATTAATGATACAATTGAACAGAGAGATCTGCCCAGTTTGTGTGTTTGGGGACATCCACGAAAGGGTGGAAGGATGGGCCCGCTGCTTTTCAGCTGCCTCTGCTCCTCTTTGATAATTTGACCTTTCAAGATGAGGTCACTTAAGAGTTCTCTTGATTCGGTTGTCCTGTTTCTGTATTGGATTGGTGTTCACTGGGGTATTCAGTGCATCTTCTGGTAATTCTTTCATTTTTGCATATATTGTGATCTGTCCATAACCATAATTTGGCCTTTGTCGATTGGTAGGATGATACTCTGGTCCTTTTTTAGGTTTTTGAGGGCTGCTCTGCCTCTGCTGCTTTTGTTCTTATCTTCTTCTGGCCTTTGGGATGATAGTTTGTCATCTGCTTTCGGGTCTCTGTGGGAAATCCTGTGGTTCTAAATGCTCCGTCTAAGGATGCAAAGAATTCTAGCTGAATAGCATCATCTATGTCAGGGGGGTCAAACTTGATTTCATTGAGGGCCGCATCAGGGTTGTGTTTGACTTTGGGGGGAGCGGGTAGGAGGATGCCAGGGTGAAAGTGGCCAGCTCGATGTCACTCATCAAGGCTTTATTTTTGGCCACATCAGCCCTCCCGGGTTCCAAGTTTGGCCACAACAACCTCCTGCAGCCCTCTGCCAGCAAAAACAAGAGTTTGGGGAGGTCGCAGACGCCCCCCCACAACCTCCCTTTTTGCTGGCAGAGGCACCGCAGTCCGGTCCTTTGCTGTTTCCAGAGTGGGCCCCCGGCCAGATCTAAGCACCCCATAGGCTGGATCCAGGCCCCGGGCCTCGAGTTTGATACCCTGATCTATGTTATAGTTGAGGCTTTCTGTGGGATATTGTGTACTGCAGTGGATATGACCAACCATTCGGGTTCTGCTTTTGCTGCCTCTTTGATTCTAAGGTTTGAGTAGTCTGATTTATATTTTCATTTTCCTTTTTTCCGGCATGCCTCTGAGAAATAGTCTTGGTGGTGGCGGCCAGCCTTTCCATGTGAAGGTCTGTTCCAGCTGTTCCTTGAGGTTTGCCATGGTATGCTGGTATTTGTTTAGTCTTAAGGTTTGCATCTCTGATCATAAGTCGCATCATTTTTCACCCTTTCTCTTGGGCTATTTTCCATCCAGCTGTGCAGCTTATTGGAGGTTTGTGTTTGACACTGGTGGGAAGAGTATGCTGCTGTTGGCATTCATGCAGGAAGAACAGTTGCTCCTTTGTGAAGTACATAGCGCCTACCTGCAGATTTCTCCCATCTGCGTACATTCTGAAGCACCTGACGCCAATACATGGTACCGATGGACAATACTTATAGCTCAGGGTTGAAAAGAGGACTCCTTAGTGCTCTGAATCTGGTGGTTTTCTTGCAAATGTCTCATTACTGAACTATGTAACATCATCAGTGCTAGTAGAGTGGGTTTTGCTCTCAATTTGTATCCTGGTGGCTTGCTCAGTCAGTGGGAGTGGGAGTGGCCTTGGTGGTTCCTGGGTTGGGACCTTTACTATTCACTTGCTTGGAGTATTGTTTGCTTCTTGATTCTGGTCTAATGTTAACCTCGGTGTTGATCTCTGCTCATCTGGGTGTTGATTGCTGGTAATACATTTTTGGTCTTTTTGTGATAATGTTGATAAGATGAACTCTTCTTAATGTCCCCTTGATGTATGAAGATCATTTTTGCAGAACCTCTATCCTTGGCTCTGTGGTATTGAATACTAATTATTAATTTGGTGGAGGAATCTGATTTATGGAGTCTGTAGCCAACACAAAGCTGGGAAATATGGCTAATTTAGATGGAAGATTGAAAAAAGCACCACAGACTTGAGCAACAGCACTGAACATGGAGAAATATTCTGCATCTAAGTAGGAAAAATGGAGGTGTAGTTATTTAATGGAGGTGGGGGGGATTGTGGCTTGGCAGTAGAACATGGGAAAGGGATTTAGAGTCCTTGTCTAATGCATATCAAACATGAGATGGCAGTGTAATGTAACTTCTAAACAGGTAAATCTACCTTGGGACACGTTAATAGGTACACAAAGCTGAGACAATGGGAAGAACTCTTCTACTCTATCTTGCCCCAAATAGTCACACCCTGTATGCAGGCCTGTGTCCAGTTCTAGGCGCCAATGTTTAAAAAAGTAGAGTTACCAAGATTGTGAATGAACCAGGAGCCAAGTCTTTTGAGGGTATGTATAGCTTATTGAAGAGAGCCATCTGACAGCAGTCTTCAAACACCTGAAAAGTTTCAGAGATGATGGAACTGACATGTTCTTTACTGGCCTGGAAGGCAGGACCAGGACCAATGAGTTAACACTATGAAGAATAAGTTAAATATCAGAACAGGCTGCCATATGTAGCAATGAGATGCTGGATGGTCATCTATCTGAGAGAATTTAGGGGATCCTGCACAAAAATTAGGGATTAATGGCCCCAGGGATCTTTTGAGGCTAAGCAACAAGATGTAGCTGAACAAGTTATTTAACAAATTGTTAAAGGAACTGGGCATTTTATCTTGCATAAAAGAAAAAATAAGAGCAGTCTTCAAATACATGAAAAGTTGATATTCAAAAGAGGCAGTACACACACTTTTTCCTGAGGGGGTAGGATTAAAACCCAGGAATTAAAAATTGCAGGTTCCAAATTAAACATTAGGTATAACTAACCAGACTGCCACATGACAGCATTTTTCCTTTGCCAAAAATCATCAAACATGGGCATTGGTTATATGTTTATCTATCAGAAAGGCTACAGTGGATACTGTACTGAAAAGGGGTTAGACTGGATGGTCTTTGAGGCATTCCTTAACTTTATGATTCTGTGACCAAACAAGGTACAGCTAAAAAGTTGCCTTTTTATCAGGCACCCTGTCAGATACTCACCTCCTTATGTTTCTCCAACAGCCCTTCCAGCTTCCCTGGGGCCCAGCAGCCCAGATCTTTGGCCCGCTCAGTCTCATATTGTCGCTGAGCATTGTCTTTCTGCAAGCTTACACTCAGTGCCACGTGCACCAAGGCCGTCATCAGCTTCATAGCTGGAATGGAAGAAAGGACCACACATCACAGGCACTACTCCCAAGCTCCAGGAAAGCCAAAGTGGCCTCTCTTTTGCCCCAATTACTCTCCTACCTGCCAGAGTGCTGGTATGACGGAAGGCACGCACTTGAGAATCAGACAGGCCAGTCAGGAAGGCAATGAGACCGTCCATCAAGTATTCATCATAAACAACATTATGCTGGGCACGGCGCACAAGCACCGCTATGAACTCACAGAATCCTGTACGGAAACGTAGCCACGTGGGAGTGTTCAGCATCAACGGGTACTCAGCTGAATCCTGGGGTTAGCGGGGAGGAGAGGAAGATCCATTAGAGTCAACTGGAGTATGTGTCTGCCACGGGGAGCCCCGCATTCATGTCCTACACACACACACACGCACCCAGATCCCCGGGGCGCTCTCTCACCTCCTCAAAGGCTTCGGTCAGGCTTTCAATGATCTCCGAGTTCTGCAGGCGGCCGAGCATCTCCAGAGTCACGGTGCCTGCCCAGACAAAAGCAGCGGGGGAAGAGGAGGAGGAGGAAGCCGATCCAGCCCCCCCACACACCCCCACCCCCCATCGCAGGCCCGGTTCCCTCCTACCTCTGCAGCCGCAGGCGCGCACCACGAAGTTCATCAGCTCCACGAAGCCCCCGGCCTGGTCCTGCAGGTAGCCTTCCAGCCACTCGTCCACCACGGGCTGCGGGGGAAGGGGCGACGGGAGGCCGGGGTGGGGGTCGCGGAACCACCACCGCCCCAGCCACCCGCCGGGTGGGGGGAAAGGGGGAGAGGGGGCGGGCGGGGCCTCGTCTCACCTCCAGGGCGCTCCTGCCCGCCTTCACCGCCTCGAAGAGGCCCTGGCCGCCGGCAGATCCGGCCTCGCCCGACGCTCGCGGCCTCGCCCGCTTCGGCACCTGCGCCGAGCGAGAGGAAGCAGAGCCGCCGTCAGTCACCCCGGGTGGTCACCGCCGCCCTCGCCCTGCCACCAGCCTGCCTACCGGGGAGCCGCGGCGGCGGGCCGGCCGCTTGGCGCGCCGTCCGACCGCCGACTCCGCCTCGACGTCGCTGCCCGAGTCCCAGCCCGCGCCTCGCCCCGGCTCGCCCGACTCCGCCGCAGCCTCCGCCGCGCTCCCAGCAGAGGACGACAAGGAGGCGGCCGGGGAGCGAGGTGGGGCTTGCCGGTGCCTCAGCACCATCGACGGCGGCGACATGGCGGGAAACCGCCTGAGGAAAGCGCCAACCCGACGGCCGCGTCACGTGACTCCGCGCCACCTGCCCGGCACGCGGGCCCCGCCCGACTTGCGCATGCGCTGCCTGGGGCTGGAGGGGGCGGGACGAGGCTTTCCTCGAGCGCCGGCGAAGGAGCGCGTGGGGAGGTGGGGGGGATGCGCCAGGTGGGAAGGGCTCCAAAGGCGAGGGGGAGAGGCTTCCCTTCGGAGGGCAGCCCCGCCACAGGGAAGCCGCCTCCACCCTCCCCGCCGCCTCTTTCCTTGGGTGGGGTGGGGTGGGGTGGGGGGCTGCTCTGAAGGAGCGGCCGCCAGAGGGGCGGCTTCCCTGCCGAGAAAGCCTCTGCTCGGCTGGAGCCCTGCGAGGGCAGCCGGCCCGGCAAATCCATGGAACAAAAGGCGAACGACGCAGCCGTCCCCGGAACCGGCCGGCAAGACGGTCACGGAGACTCCCGGCCCTCCCGACGGAAAAAGGGGGCTTCCTTGGGGGGGGGGAGGGGTGCGTTTTTTCCTCTTGGGAGGCGGCGGGTGTGTGTGTGCCTCGCCTCTCATGCAGGAAGCCGCTTGTTCGGCTCCTGAGCGGGCGGTGCTTTTTGCCTTGTGAAGAATAAAAGGCGCCTGGAGCTGCCTTTTGAAAAAGCCCCTTCGGGGTGCGAGCAGGTGGCTTCCTTCTGACCGGATGGGAAACATAAAAATAAGAAATGAAAAGACCGGGAAAAGGAAAAGAAGCGGGGGGGGGGGGAGAGAGAAAGAAAATTATGACTTCCGCTCCTCTTTCCACCAGCTAATTGCCATTTTATTTACCCCTTCCCCTTTAATTCTTTTTAATCCCCAAATTCTTAAATCATCAATTGAGTCATTTCTTCTTTTAATAAAAAAAACTTTTTAAAAAAGCTTCCGGTCTTTTAAAAAAGCTTTGTTTTTTCCCTGAGATTTTGTGAGGGAAACTCCTTAGGGAACTCCTGAGTTTGGGGAGAAAATAATTACTTGGGAATTTTATTTGGGAATCCCTGGGACGTCATGTTGCTGCATCAAATTATTTTATTACATTTTGTGAAGCATACACACAAACATAAATCAAGGTGCTGTACAGCCAGTGAATGGGAATTGGATAGTTAGCAATTGTGAGCTGTCCCCTTAAGGGAATGCATCATGGTAAATGTAGTTAAGGTATCCTGGGAAATGTAGTCCATGTCACGTGACCACATCCACTGGCTGGACAGCACACAAGAGAAACAATAGAATAGAATAGAATAGAATAGAATAGAATAGAATACTTTATTGGCCAAGTGTGATTTTACACACAAGGAATTTGTCTTGGTGTAAATACTCTCAGTATACATAAGGAAAAGCTACATTAGTTAAGAATCAAGGATCATAACATACAACACTTAATGATAGTCATAGGGTACAATCAACAATCAAATCATACTAGGAAACAGTCAATATAAATCATACGAATATAAGCAACAAATTTATATTCCTACAATCACAAGTGGGAGGGGATGGGTAATTAGGAGTGGTGAGAAGATTAACAGTAATAGTAGTGTACACTTTGTAAATAGTTGAACAGTGTTGAGGGAATTATTTGTTTAGCAGTGATGGTTTTCGGGAAAAAACTGTTCTTGTTTCTCATTGTTCTGGTGCACAATGCTCTGTAGCATCGTTTTGAGGGAAGGAGTTGAAACAGTTTATGTCCAGGATGTGAGGGGTCTGTAAATATTTTCACAGCCCTCTTTCTGACTCATGCAGTAGACAAGTCCTTGACTGAAGGCAGGTGGATAGTAATTGTTTTTTCTGCAGTCCTAATTATCCTCTGAAGTCTGTGTCTGTCCTGTTGGGTTGCAGAACCAAACCAGACAGTTGTAGAGGCGCGGATGACAGACTCAATCATTCCTCTGTAGAACTGTATCACCAGCTCCTTGGCCAGTTTGAGCTTCCTGAGTTGGCGCAGAAAGAACATTCTTTGTGGTGCTTTTTTGATGACGTTTTTGATGTTAGGTGTCCATTTTAGGTCATGTGATATATTAGAACCTAGAAATTTGAAGGTCTCTACTGTTGATACTGTGTTGTCTAGTATTGTAAGAGGTGGTAGTATAGGAGGGTTTCTTCTAAAGTCTACCACCATTTCTACAGTTTTCAGTGTGTTCAGTTCCAGATTGTTCTGGTTACACCACGAGGCAAGTTGTATAACCTCCTGTCTGTAATGCAGGTTCATCATTGTCTCGAATGAGACCAATCACTGTTGTGTCATCAGCAAACTTCAGTATTTTAACAGATGGATCGTTTGAGATGCAGTCATTGGTATATAGGGAGAAGAGAAGTGGAGATAGCACACAGCCTTGGGGGGGGCCGTGCTGATTGTACAGGTGCCGGATGTGATTCCGCCTAGCTTCACCTGCTGCTTCCTGTCTGTTAGGAAGCTAATGATCCACTTACAAGTGTGTTCAGGTACCGCTAGTTGGTTTAATTTACTTAGAAGAGTGTCTGGAATGATGGTATTGAACGTTGAACTGAAGTCTACAAAGAGGATCCTTGCATAGGTATTTGGAGATTCAAGGTGTTGTAGGATGTAATGCAGAGCCATGTTAACAGCATCATCTGTCGATCTATTTGCTCGGTATGCAAACTGCATGGGATCTAACAGCGGATCCGTGATGGTTTTCAGGTGGGACAGCACAAGCCTTTCGAAGATTTTCATAACTACAGATGTTAGAGCAACTGGTCTGTAGTCATTCAGTTCCTTGATGGGGGGCTTCTTTGGCACTGGGATGATGGTAGAACGTTTGAAGCAGGAAGGAACGTAGCACAAAGAGTAAAAAGAAGATAGTAAAAGAAGCATGAAAAGGTGTAACAAAAAAGAAAACAGAAATGTATATAAAGAATGACAAGACTTCTTTTTCCAAGGGTACAAAGAATACTTAATTTCAACTATTTGTTTAAGACTATAATAAAAAGTCCATTCCCCTCCCCCCCAGGGGAAACAAAGTTCTTTTTCCCCTTTTTAAATTTTAATAATAATCAAATCCATATGTCAAAATTGGATTTTTTGTCATCTTCTTACAAAAAGAGCTTCTAATTATACATTAATATTTAATTTTGCATTAGTAGAGGGGTATTTTCCTCTTGATCAATTGATGTGTTATATATTTTTTAAAATTGCCCAGCTTATTATACAATTTTTAACAAATTAGTTTCCATTTTCAATTTTAACAAGAGTTTATATATTTTACACATAAGGTGTTCATCATTTGTACACAGTTTTTTTTTAAAAATTAGTTTAACAGAATAACAGCTGGAAGGGACCTTGAAGATCTTGTAGTCCAGGGGTCGCCACCCTTTTGGACCTCGGGGACCACCAAACTCATACTTTTAAATCCTGAGACCCACTACTATGAATTTTCACAAAAAGATAATATATTTAATATAAAAATTTTATTTTTTATATTAAACATAAACATAAATGGGAATTGTGGGGCAGAGTAAAGGGAAAGGAAGGGCTTCTCTCATCCTTTGAGTTTGGGGGGGTTCCAAAGTCCTGGTGTTTTGTCTTTGTTAAGAGTAATGTGTAACTAGTATTTTTCCCCCCTATGCTTTCACACTTACGAGAGTTTGTCAGCAAGCACGAAATACCCATTTCCACTCCATTTTCATTCCAGTCATTACAGGACAAACATTTGAATGCACAGTACTATCTGACATTTTCCTGATATAGGTCACTCTGTAGCAGTCAAGCCATGCAAATTCCCCCCCCCCCCCCCCTTACACCCCCCCACCCACACCCCTCTCTCTCTCTCTCTCTCTCTCTCTCACACACACACACACACACCCTCCAAGGCAGCCCCATCCCTAGCCTGCTTTGAGCTCCATTCCTAGAGGGAGGAGGGAGGGAGATTGATCTAACCTGAAGGCTGGTAATTTTCTTTCTCTCTCTCCTTCACACACCCCGCCACCCCCTCCCAGGCAGCCCCATTCCTAGCCTGCTTTGGTTCTCAGGCTGCACGCAAGGAAAGCAGCCAAAGTGTTTCTTTCTCGCCCCCAAACTCTGCCAGAAATGAGTCTTTGGGACCCTGCAAGGCCTCCTGCTCCAAGAGGCTGCAAAGACTCATTTCTGGCAGAGTTTGGGGGCGAGAAAGAAAGACTTCTGCTGCTTTCCTGGTGTGCAGCCAAAAGCAGAAGACGAAAGAAGCAAACCGATGGCCAGGCAAGTTCCCCCCTCGTCCCTTTCCCCGCTCCCCTCACTACCTCGTGTTGTTCCTAATACAAGCGATGCCAGCCTTGTGTTCCCATGTGGGCGGCACAGCCTTGTTTTCCCCCGCAGCCTGGATTAATTGCTTTGGGGGGATGCTTTGGGGTGGCATTTCTCTGCAGACCACCAAAATTTTCTCATGGACCACCAGTGGGCCGCAGTCCACCGGTTGGCGACCGCTGTTCTAGTCCACCCCGCAGCTCCAGCAAGAGACTCTATATCAATCTCAATAAAGGTTGTCCAGGCTGTTCTTAAAAGCCTCCAGTGATGGATCACCCACAATTTGGGGGCAATTCATTCCACTGATTAATTGTTCTAACTGTTAGGAAATTTTTCGGTAGTTCCAGGTTGCTTCTCTCCTTGACTGGTTTCGATCCATTGCTTCCTGTCCTGCCTTCAGGGGCTTTGGAGAGTAGGTGGACCCCCCCCCCGTCTTCTTTGGGGCAGCCCCTCAAATATTGGAAGGCGGCTATCGTGTCACCCCTAGTCCTTCTCTAGATGAGACACACCCAATTCTTGCAACTGTTCTTCATATCTTCTAGTCTCCAGCCCCCTAGTCATCTTTGTTGTTCTTCTCTGTGCTTTTTCCAGTGGTTTTTTTTTTTTTTTTAATAACATGTCGACCAAAGGTTTTATCATGACTGAAGTCTACTTCTCAGCTTTTCTTATTGGCTTTAAATCTCTGTGAGTTGCAAATACAAAAAATCCTTCGTCCTCAGCTTGGGTTGTCAAAAGGCTGGGTTTGCACAACACGCTGGACCACACACCGGTCGTGGTCCCCTTTTCTCTTTCTCTCCTGGGAACCATGTGTTTTGATGGACGGGTGAGGTGTTATTGTTCTGTATGAGCCACTGGTTTTGAAGGGTTGGAAGACCAGCACTTCTTATGAGTAAGAGCCGGAGGATTAGCACCTGCAGACTCAGCGCTTACTAAGCATAAGGGCTGCTCTGAAGAAGGGGCAGGGGTGGGGGCTGGGGAAGAGGGCTGAGGAGGGAGGAGAGCCTTCCCAAGAAAAACCTGGGCTGGATTTCCCTGGATTACCTAATCGGACTGTCTAAACTGCCCGCACCCTCCTGCAGGAATAATCCCACTGCCCCGGCAGAGAAGAGGGCTGGTTCCCCACCCTGGGAAGTCTTAGGCAGAGCCCGAGGAAGAGGGCAGAGCTGGCCCGAGTGGGCGGGGCACGTGCGCACAGCTGAGGCTTATGGAGGCTTTGTGGGGGGGAGGGAGGGCAGGAGGACGGGACTCCCAGGGCCAGCTCCCTCTAGGCGGAGTTCTTGGCTTGGTCTGCTGAAGCACCAAGAAGTCTCTTTTGGCCGTCATCACTCCCTGCCCCGGATGCTCAACGGGTAGCAGAATAAACGACTTCAGCAGATCTTCTACCTCTTTGGAGAGTCCGGGGTTTGCTCTTGGCTATAAGTCAGCTCCCCGCCTCTCGGTCCGCAAGGTCTCTGCCGCAGCCACTAAGAACCGCTTTCTGTTGTGGCAGCTTGCCCGTGTTTCAGAAAGCCATAATATAAAGCGAGGTGCCTAACTCGTTTTAGTCTAATTAGCGTTCTGTCCATGCCCGGTCTTGTTGGATGGGTAGACGGGTGAGTCTCCAGGGTGCAGGGAGCGTGAGGAGGACCTGGGACCTCTCCCCAGCCGCCATCCCTTCTCTTCACAATGCCTTGCCGGCTCTTTCTCTGGCAGAGCCAGAGCTAGTTTATAAGCAGCTAAATGTTCGGCAGAGTCGGCACTTCCGGGAAGGCTGCCAAAACGCACAGGGGCCCTGTGAGCAAAGCCGGAGGATCGGAACAAACCCAAGGCGGGATCCGACTAAACAACATCCTCCATCTAGGGCACCAGAGAGCTCTGGAAGGAGGGGAGCTTGTTGCGGGGGGGCGCCAGGCAGAGGCACCCCCCCCCTCCAATGTTAGGCAGTTGTGTTGAGCCAGGCAGAGCAGAGCTGTAGCCACACTGGTCTGGTCACTTTTGAGAAGTCCTTGGGAAAGAGGAAATCCCTGGTGCTGGCAAAACCTTTTGGTTGCTGCAACACAAGGCTTTGCCTGCAAGATATTCAGGTGAAACCACATTTCCTTCATGTTCTTCTCCTTAATGATGACTTGTGTGGAGGCTCCGAGGCATGGGGACAGTCGGCCTCCCTGCAAACTTCTTGCCCGGGGTGTTTTCGACATGATTGCCACTAGCTGGAAGGGAGCCTCTTCCTTCCCTCTTGCAAGTTGTTGTTCACTTGGGCCCCGGTTGTCTTGACCCAAGACCTACAGGTAATCTTGCCAGCACTGGCAGTGGGGCGTCAGCTCTGCAAAGTCTGCCTGAGGCCCATGGCCCCCCAGGTGCCAGTCCTGGACAAGCTGAAGGAATGTGTGATGTGCCTGCCAGGAGAGAGGTCAGCTGAGTGACCCGAGGCCACCGGCCACAATCGCTGGGCAGCATTCCAACCAGCAGCAGCCCTGCAGGCCTCCCCCTCCCCCCCCCCCGCCTGCAACGCAGCCCTACTCGGAGTCAGCTTGGCTGAAGCAGCACCTGGTGCCCCCACCCGACCCCACCCCTCCCCATCTGCTGCCTGAGCCCGCTGGCCTGGGAAGCTCCACGGAGCAGGACTGGGGAGGAGGGTAATGCCCCCCACAGGAGGTGGCCGGCGTAGTATGGCCAGCCCAGAAGGGTCCCTCGATGGAGAAGGCGGGGAAGGGGGGACGTGGCTGGCAGGCTCAGATCTCCAGACCCAGGCTGTGGTTGGGGTGACCCCCACCTGGTCTCTCTGCCATCTCTCCAGGAGAGCCTCCCAAGAACCCCGGGGCTTTCATCCCTGGGGCCGCAGCGCATCTTAGCCTTTCGTTCACGGGTCATGGCAACCTAGGGGGTAGGACGGGGCCATTGGAGTAGGCCGGGGCGCACCTTCAATTCCCTCCACAGAGGCAGGTGAGCCAGCTCAGCCCCCGAAGGACAAAGAGAAGGCTGGCGCTCCTGGGGCCACCACACGCAGGGGAGCAAAGGTCCTGGAGAGGCGCTTAGCAGGTCACCCGCAGAGAGCGGCCCCTCCTTCTGCAGAGCTTGGTGGGGGCTCCCCCGCTGGCTGAGGGGGCATCTGGCGGAGTTGGGTTAAATGCACAGGCACACAAAAACACCCAAGATCCACGTATATTATCGGTGGATTTTAGCTGGCGGCCCTTAACCAAGGAGAGAATCTCAGAATCCTAGTGAGCCCCGCAACCCCTTTGTGGGGCAGGTGGGAGACAGCCGCTCCTCATGCCCACCTGGAGAGAGGACTGGGCCTTCCCGCAGGTGTTTCTCCTGGTTCCGCTCCACTCCTGCTGGGGGCTGGGCTGCTCTTCCATGCCTGGCTGGCCCTGGAATCCGAACAGCCCCTGAAGCCAGAACCTTCCATGGGGAGAACCTGGCCCAGGAGGCTGGGAAGAGCTTCCCTTGAAGGGAAGACGAGCCCAGCCCCTCGCCAGGCACTTTCCCACCGGGGGTGGGGGGGTGGGGGGGGTTCCCTCCTTCCTTGGCTCCTCCCTCAGTGGCCCCAGGAGGCAGTTCACCTCCTCTCCTTCAGTCACCAGCCCCCCCAAAGGTCATCCCACCATGCAGCCTTCCCGAGAAAGAAAAGATTGAAAATCACACAAAAAGAACCCTCCGCCAGACTTCCTGCATGGCCCTTGAGCATGCACAGAGTTGCAGCCTGACCAAAGCTTGGCGGAGGTTTCAGAGCAACGCGTTGAGGGCCCCTCCGGCCAGCAGCTTCCCACACAGGTCCAGGCCCAGACCCAAGAGTCGAGGCTGAGAGCAGGGCCTTTCCTACGGCCTCCCCAGCCCCCACCCCACACCCCACCCCCCAGCTCAGCCTCCATGGCCGGCCAGCTGAGCCAGGTGGGGGGGGGTTGGGGGGGAGTGGGCATGGTCCGAAAGGGCAGCCTGAGAAGAGGGGGGGGGGGAGTCTCCTGGCCCGCGATGCTGACCCCCCCCCCCCCGCCCCCTTGACCGGGCCCCCCCCCCCCCCACACACACAGACGCTGCCCTTCCTCCCTGCCCACCTTCCCCTTGGTGGCCTCAAAATCTGCCTGGCTGGAGGAGCTGAGGCCTGACCTGATTGTGGGGAGGGGCAGACACGTGCCTTGCTGCTTCAGCAAGGCTATTCCAGGGGAAAAGCCAGCCCCCCCCAAGGCCCCCTTGCTCCAGAGGAGGCAAGCGCCCCTTGTCCAACATGGGGGTTGGGGGAAGGGGAGAGAGGGAGAAGATCCGTTTTTGTTTGGGGGGAGGGGCTGGTTGAGGTGTGTCTGGCATTGCAGTGATCCAGGGATGGGGCTGCCAGAGCAATTCCGGCTCCCCCGAGGGGAAAGCAGGGCCAGCGGCCCTTACGGCTCCCCAGGCTGGCTGCCTAGGTGGGTCACTGGTCCCCCATAGTGTCCTCCTCCATCATCCCCAGCCAGGCAGCCCCAGCTTTGCCTTGAAGCCTTGAGCCCATCTTGGAGCAGCCCTTGAGCCAGGGTTTTTTTTATTTATTTTATTTATTTATTTATTTTATTTGTCAATTGTTTACAAGATAATAAGTATAAGTGTATACATAATTATGAATACATGATATGGGTACATATAAGAAAAATAAAAGAAAAATAAAAGAAACAATAGGACAGGGACGGTAGGCACGTTGGTGCGCTTATGCACGCCCCCTACAGACCTCTTAGGAAAGGGGTGAGGTCAATAGTAGACAGTCTGAGGTTAAAGTTTTTGGGGTTTGGGGAAGAAACTACTAAGTCGGGTAGAGTATTCCAGACATTGACCACTCTGTTGCTGAAGTCGTATTTCCTGCAATCAAGCTTGGTGCGGTTAACTTTGAGTTTGTATCTGTTGTGTGCTCTTGTGTTGTTATGGTTGAAGCTGAAGTATTCATTGACAGGTAGGACATTGCAATGTATGATTTTATATACCATACTTAGATCAGACCAAAGTCGGCATAATTCAAGGTTTTCTAGTTCTAGAATTTCAAGTCTGGTGGCATAAGGTATTCTACAACGAGTAGAGGAGTGGAGAACTCTTCTTGTGAAATATTTCTGGACT